GGGTAAGAGCAATCCTGGGCTTTTAAGAACTAAAAATAGCAGATACTATCTGTATCAGCCGGTTTTGGTTTTGTGTTGGTTTTTTTTTTTTTTCTCCCCCCATCCGAAGGGTTTTGTCTCCATCCTGCCATCCCCCTGTCGAACAGCTCACCCGGCGAAGGCTCCGGCTCGCACAGACAGTGAATTCGGGAAGGTTTTTTGCCCCCGTTGGGAAGAGGCAACCTCAGCCTTCCCCCTTTTGATTTACCAAAAGCCACAAAGCAGCGGGGAGGAGGAGGAGGAGGGAGGAGCGGGCACGTTTGGGCTCACGCAGCCACTCGAGAGAGGAAAACACAGGTCGAGAGCAGCGCCAGGGGATAATCGGAACATAAATCTCTGGGAGATTAAGCAAATCCTCCATGAGATTAAATTTGTTTTCTCCTCAGGTTACTTCATTATCTTCTCGGGGAAAAAAAAAAATCACCCGAAGCGATGCGGCGCAGTTAACCCCGGGGGCGGCAGCGACACCGGTGAGAGGCTTTGGCAGGAGCGGCGTGGGGAAACGCGCTCCGTCCCCTCGTCGCGTCCTAAACCCAACGGGGCGCGCTCCGTCAGCTTCCACCACCCTAAAAGATCCAGATCTTAAAGGTTTGGGTTGGAAAGGACCTTTAGGATCATCTAATCCATCCCCCTTGCTACGAGCAAGAATGTCTTCCGCTAGCCCAGGTTGCCCAAAGTCCCGTCCAACCTGGCCTTGAACACCTCCAGGGGCAGCCACAGCTTCTCGGGGCAACCTGGTTCCACCAACCTCAGCGAGAAGAATTTCTTCCCAGTATCTCATCCCAATCTTCCCCCTCCTGCCAACCTTCTCCCCCATCACCACCCTCAGGTCCTCCTCCTCAAGGATCTCAGCCTGGATTCGTGTTTGGGGTTCCCCCCACCCACAGGGAGGACCTTGCGCTTGGCCTGGCTGAACTTCACGAGGTTCACACCTCTCCAGCCTGTCCTGGTCCCTCAGGGTGGCATGCTGTCCCTCCAGCTGTCACCACACACCTCCGTGGCATCGGCAAACTCGCCCTCGACGCCACTACATCACCAACAAAGACGTTGAACCAGTCCCAGTACGGACACACGAGGTCACTGGTCACCACAGGTCAGGCAGGAGAGAGCTTGGAAGCCCCAACTCCTGTCCCGTCCCACCACAGCCAGCGGAAAGCCCGACGAGAAGGAGGAGAGGTTCCTCTCAGCGGGTTCGGCACCACCCGGCAGCCCTCGGAGCTGCTCATCCCCGCCGCAGCGCCTGAATCGCCGCCAAACCCCTTTTTCTTACGGTTTCAGCCCAAGCCATATGGCTCCGAGTCAGGCTCGGCGGGCAGCACCGGGATTCCCGCAGAGGGAGGAGAAGGAGAAGGAGGAGGGAAAAAAAACCCACCGACGTCATCCGGCCAGGCACGGAGGTGAACTTTGCCTGCCGGAGCGACTGGCGGCTCGGAGGGAAGCACGTCAAATCCAACCCACGGCATCTCGTCAGGCTCCCAAAGGTGCCTGGAGGAGGAAGAGGAGGAGGAGGAGGAGGAAGGGGGATGACACACGCTCTCACGCAACGGGCAGAGACGCGGGGGAAAAGGCGCGACGCGCAGCCTCCGCCAACCGAAATCGGGGCGTTTTTATGGGTCTCCCCAGCCCAGCACAGCTCGGGAGAGGCTGAGGGTTTGCCCCGGCTCGGGAATGCCGGAGGGAAACGGAGTCCCTCACCTTGCGGGTCGGCTTTCTTGAAGGCGTTGCCCGCGTCCACGAAGTTGGTGGCGGCGTCGTGTTTGCTCTGCAGCTGCAGGTGGAGCTGGGCCGCCTGGCAAAAGGCATTCCCCGCGGCTGGAAGAGGAGAGGAAGGAGCTCAGGAGCAGCATCTCGGAGAGACGGGGGCGGAAAAAAAAACCAAAAACACGTTAACCCTCCTCGAAAATCGAGTTAAAATAAAGGCGGTGGCATCCAGCCCGTTTTCGGACCCAGAGAAGGAGAGGAAACTGCAGCCCCATCCCAGGGCAAAAGCTCCCGGCTGCATTCTTACGTACCGCTCCAGTTTTTGGCCATTTTGAACATGTTGGCTGCTCGGGCGTAGATGTCGCATGCTTCCTCTATCCTGGAGGAGCCCCTGGAAGCAAACAGAAACCGGGAGTCGCATAAACGCCCGCTGGGAAGCTCCAAACCTGTGGGCCCAGCAGGAAAAAACAAGCGCATCGCTCCTCTCCGGCTGAAAGGGTCCCCCGGGGCTCTCCCAACTTCACGGGGCAGAGGGATCCGGCCCCTGCGGGACTCTTTTTTAGGAAGCCGCAATTAAAACGGAGGCTAACGGGGAAGAGACGAGCGAGTCCGCTGCGAGCTGAAGCTGGCAGGCGAGCCGGAGGTTGGCACGGCCGGAGGAATCGCGCTTCCCCCCCTAAAACCCTTCCTCGCTCTCCATCTCCCCGCAGACAGCGGGAGCTGGGCCAGCTCTTCACAGAAGGGCTTTTTAATTAATAATTAACGAGCTAGAGGAATCCCTGCCGTAGCAAAGGGGCCAAGCGCCTGTCCCAAACGAGCCCACGCTGCTCCCGGTGAGGGAGCACCGGCTCTCAGCTTCCCTCCGCCGCCGGCGACACAGCTGGAGTGCCCTCCCGGCCTCAAAAAACACCCTCGCAGCCCCAAAAAATCACCCTTCCGGCCCCAAAAAAAGCAGCGGGAGGGGAGCGGGCAGGGAGCCAGCGCGTCCACCGACGACCCGTTTTAAAAGGCAGAGGCTGCGGCACACGAGCACCACCTCGTAGCTCGCCAGCGAGCGTGTTTCTCCGCTGACTCGGCCGATTCCGCCCAGAAATCCCGGCCAGTGACTCAAGGGAGCTAATTACGGTTGCGTTTGTGGGTTTTTAAAGGTTTGTTGTGTTCGGTTTTGTTTGTTTGTTTGTTTTTTTAAGCACAAGTTTTGCTCACGTTTCCTCTGCCCCACTGGAAACCTGACATTAGAGACGGGGCGGCAGGAGAACCCCAACTCGGAGAATCCCAACTGCCATCTGAAATTGCCGTTCAACACCTAAAACGCCCGAGTTTTCCGCCCGACGTTAATTCACAGCTGCGAAATGGCATTAAGGAGGGGGAAGAGCTGAAAGAAATGCAGTGACGCGAAGGGCAGCAGAAAACAGGGCTCTCCGGTCACCCCCACGCACAAAACCTGCCCCCAGCGGCTCCTTCCCAAGAGCAGCCCGAGGAAAAACAAACCTCCCCCCCCCTTCTCCCGCTCGCTCTCCTTTACCAAATCGCCCGGTTCCAGCCAAATTTTGCAATGGGAAGCGCTTCTTTTTGGCGTTTTGTTTCTCCCCCGGCACCGCGCTTGCGTAAAGCCGGAGT